GACGCCCCCCGCCCCTCCCTCTGCTGACACGGGTCTGGGAGCTGCTTGGTGGCCGGGTTGGGTTTGCGACGTGGCCGCGGTTAGCACTGACCCGGGTCGACCCGCCCCCGAGGCCCCCGCACGCCCCCTTCCCTCCTGCTTCCCGATCGAGGATCGAGGATCAGGGTTCAAGCACGTTCTTAGGGCACTTTTTGGGCCTCTGAAAGGCCTCCTCGTCGCCACGGCTGGATGCTTCTCGAGATGATGGTCGAAACTCACCCAAAGAGAGGTTTGGGTCTTCCTCATGTTCAGAACGGCCTGGACCATCATCATCATCATCATCATCATCATCAGAAGCAGCGTCATCATCATCAGCAGCAGCAACAGCAACGGCAACAGCAACAGTAACCAAATCAGCATCATATCACAGATTTTTCTTATCAGCGTTATCAGCGTCATAAGCATCAGCATAATCCTCGTCATCGTCGTCGTCATCGCCGCCGCCAGCATCAGCATGATCATCCTAAACATTTTCTTCGTTGTAGAATTAGTGGGCGCAGTACTTGCAGCATCCGTAGTAAAACTAGTGATCGTGTGTAGGTGGGTAGGCAGGCGGGCAGGTAAGTAGTAGCAAATACGAATGGATAGTAGTAGGCAGTTGTAGTAATTAGGTAGTAGGTAGTTGTTAGTGGGTCGTAGTAGTAGCTGCAATAGTATTGTTATTCGTATTTGTGGTAGTCGTAGTACTAGTAGCAGTAGTAGTACTAGCAGCAGCAGCAGCAGCAGCAGTAGTAGTAGTAGTTGTTGTTGTTGTAGCAGTAGCAATAGTAAAGTAGTTGTAGTGGTAGTCTCTACTACAGCTACGACTTCTACTACTATTATCATTACTACTACTACTACTACTACTACTACTACTACTACTACTACTACTACTACTAAAACTACGACGACGATTACCACTACTATTATTATTACTACTACTACTACTACTACGACTACTACTACTACTACTACTATTACTATTACAACTGCTACTACTACTACTAATATTACTACTACTACTACTACTACTACTACTACTACTAGTACCACTACTACTACTACTACTACTACTAGTACTACTACTACTACTACTACTACTATACTACTACTACTACTACTAGACTACATTACTACCACTGTATACTGCTATTTTCTACTACTCTACTACTACTACTACTACTACTACCTCTGATACAACTACTACTACTAGTACTACTAGTACTACTAGTACACTACTATTACTCCCACTACTACTACTACTACTACGACTACCACTACTACTACTACTACTACTACTACTACTACTGCTACTACTACTACTGCTGCTACTACAACTACTAGTACGACTACTACGACTACGGCTACGACTACTACGGCGACTAGTATT